AAGGTGAATGTTTTGGCATGCACATCAATCTTAGATTGAGCGTAGCTGGCACATTGCCAGGAAACATTGCCATTTATGCTAATGCTCATTCTATGCTGTTTTAATTTGATTTTTTAAATTAATTAATTTGAAAAGGTTACTGCTAGCACTACAATATTGTGTGTGTGTGTATGTGTATGTGTATGTGTATGTACTATATATATACACACACACACACAAGTTTTTATTAAAACATTTTGTTATGAGGTTGAAGGTCAGTGCAAAAATGCAAAAATTAATAATTGTCTTAACTATTAAATATTGCTACTTGATACCACACAGGGTTATCATTAACTAAAACTTTTAAATAAACAAACAAACAAACAAATGTTACTTGAATCAATAAACTTTAACTGAAATAAACTATAAAAAACAAACAAACAAACAAAAAAATCTTATTTCAGCTAGTTGCCAAGGAAACATTTCTCATTTCTGTTTAACTTGAAGTACTAAAAAAAAAAAACTACAACAAAATAAACTAAAATAATAATAATAAATAATAAAAACGTTATTACATATTTAAAACACACATGCAATTTCTAAAATCAAAGTGAAAACAGAAACAAAATTATAAAAATGAAATACAATTCAAAATATTAACGAAAACTATAATAGTATATCAATGATACTACATACTACATGTCACATTATTCTTGGTCAATGTCTACAAACAAGGATTTCTGTAAAAAGTATCACTATTATATTATTTTATATACTGTATTAAATATGAAATTAAAAATATAAACATATTTTTAAAGGGAGAAATTTCATAGCATAAAGTTTAACAGTATGTGTAGGGACAAATTTTGCCTTAAAGCATTTATATACATATATAAATAAAAACTCCATAGGCAGTGAAAGCATGGCATATTAATTATAATAAAAGTAAAATGATGACGAATGAGGACATGCATGACTGACATTCTGGTATAAAATGTGTTACATACATTAGTGAGTGCATTAGAGCAGTGTTTCCCAACCGGGGTGCCGTCTGTCGAGAGCAGGGGTGCCGTGTAAAAAATCCTTTTTTAATATTTTTAAATTGCTAAAATGTTCAAAAAAGCATCTATTATATAATATCCATTTCTGATGTCGCCAATAATTAGAGATGCACCGAAATTCTGGCTGCCGAAAATTAGTTAATCGAAAATTAGTTTCACTTTCACGTGGTGTGACGCTCTGCGTATTATCCCGCTCTATGCGTGTGCGCTCCGCTCAGCTCAAGTATCATATCGAAGTTAGAAATTCAAATATTGTGACAATTTATTTTGTAGGGTGCCACAAGTTTGTTAAAATTTCCAAAGGGTGCCGCGACTAAAAAAAGGTTGGGAAAAAAAAACACTAAAAGCGCACACTAAACAGATCAAATCAATTTCAGAATCTTGCTAATTTTTGGTAGTAGTAAACTAGCACTTTTTTTTCTGTAACATTTTAGATTGAACTGAAAACTGCAAAAAGACACTTGCAAATATCCAGCACTAAACCACTTTTTTTTTTTTTTTTCAATTACTGCTGAATCCTTACACTGATTTTAAAGCGCTCTCGAATGCCCACCCTCATGGCGAATGTGGAGCCAGGCAGCAGAGGCAGACACATGCATTCCCCATACTGATGAGCCAGACTCAGGTCCAAACAGCACGGCACAAATGCACCCATCAGAACTGCACAGAAGAGGAGAGAGATGCTGTGAAACACGGGTTGGGATCTGTAGCATGAGCTTATCTGTAATTAATTTAACACTGACTACAAAAAAAAAAGGATTCATTTCTGATAAATATGGCTTTGAAAGATTAATCAATGTCCTTGGAAAAAGCTGAATTTTGTTTAATGCCCAGATTTACTTTAAATTAATGGAAAATCGTTAACAATTTATAATCATTAAAGGGTTAGTTCACCCAAAAATGAAAATTCTGTCATTAATTACTCACCCTCATGTCGTTCCAAACCCGAGAATACTTTTTTTGCGCAAAGAAAACAAAAATAACGACTTTATTCCACATTTTCGTCTCTACTGCGTCACTTGTGGACGTGCATTCACTACAGTATCATGACGTGAGCGCGTGGCGGTGGAAATTTGGAATAAAGTTGTTATTTTTGTTTTCTTTGCGCAAAAAAGTATTCTCGTAGCTTCGTAACTTTACAGTTGAACCACTGATGTCACACGGACTACATAGACCTCAAGGTAACTACCACGTTCAAGGTCCAGAAAAGTACCAAGATGATCGACAGAGTAGTCCGTGTTACATCAGTGGTTCAACTGTAACTTTAAGAAGCTAGGAGAATACTTTTTTTGCGCAAAGAAAACAAAAATAACGACTTTATTCCACATTTTCGTCTCTACTGCGTCACTTGTGGACGGGTTTCAAACAACACGAGGGTGAGTAATTAATGACAGCATTTTCATTTTTGGGTGAACTAACCCTTTAAGGAATGTCATTAACTTTTAATTACTGTGAAATGGTACACAATCACTGGATTAGGAAAACAACCGTAATTGCTTTATGCTTATAATGAATAGTAATACATGGTGGAGTACTAAGCCACTGTATAGCTGTAATAATAATAATAATAAAAAAAAGATTTGTACGTAATTTATGTGGTTAAGTAATTTATGTGATTTGTAAAGTATTTCATCCGAGGAAGCAGGATACTCTGTATATTTTGGACAATTTTAGTCATGGTTAACTGTGATAAACTACAGTAATACAATACAAAATCTAAGTATTTACGGACACATTTTATAATTAATAATGTAATCAAGAAATTTAATAAAATAATAAGGGTAACACTTCAGTTTAGGGACCAATTATCAGTATTAACTAGTTGCTTATTAGCATGCATTTACTAGCATATTGACTGTTTATTCGTACATATTAAGAACATATTAATGCCTTATTCTGCATAACCATGTTTTAGATACCTTAATCCTACCTCATACCAAAACTTAACAACTACCTTACTATTAGTAAGCAGCAAATTAGGTAAAAAAATAAATAAATAAATGTGAAGAAAAAAAAAATCTTTTCAGCTTCAGAACAAAAACACAGATGTACAATCCTTTAAAAAGGTAAGTAAAAAGGAAGTCCCTGAAAGTTTTGACAGTACTGTGACATTAAACAAATGAAATGCATACTAATGAGATGAACACTTACATGGTGAATGTCAAAGTGGCTCAGAACAATCCCTCACGATGACAACAGACAGGGGTGTTTCCTATGGTGACAGTGGTGTGTTCTTTCTGATAGCCACTTGGCCAAGAAGCCCTGACAGAAAGCTGCTGTGAGCTGATAAGCCTTCATACACACACACACACACACACACACAAAAATGAAAACACCTCTCAAGAGCATTCAAATAGTCACAAACAAATGTATCACACACAACAGCAGATATAATTCAGAATTCCTCTCAAAAACAATTATACAACATACAATCAAGCATTTTTGGGACTGCTGGCCTACTTACACGTATCCCACTGGTTTGTGCAATTCACACACACACACAACAATATTAAACAAAAGCTTACAAATGACACCTCAAATATGCAACAAGAGCTTACCAGCGATGCAGCCTGTGTGATGTTACAATGCAGAATTGCACGTTCTCTTGAGGTTAATGTCTCGCATCACTTCCTTCTGCACCACAGCTAACGCACATCAAACTGGGTCACATCCACTAATGAAACATTGCATGTAGCTGTCATATGTAGAATGGCTCGCTTATATGTTTGCCACCCAAGTCTGTACAAATGCATGCAAGCGTCCATCTGAACGTGTTTCTTTGTGGCTGATCTCGTCTCCACTTGCATGACTGTAAAAATGAGCCGTCTACATATCTGCTACGGCCTGCTTGGCTGGAAAATAGTTATATCCCTCATAGCGCTTCCTAGATGGCACATTTTCAGTGCTATTTGTGTCTGAACTTTTTTTTTTTAACATGACTTTTAAAGAAAATTTGTATTTTCTTACCTCAACCAAAGATATTGGGAGACTATCAGATTAGTGATCATCAAATATGGTTTTATCGAAGTAGCCACTAGTTATTTATCATTAACCCTAAAGAAAATCCTGTTTAATTTTTTTTATCAAAAATACACAAACATTAATATTGTGAAATATTACAATAATAAAAAAATAGTTTATATATATATATATATATATATATTTTTTTTTTTTTTTATTCCTTTGATGCAAAGATTAATTTTCAGTATCATTATTCCAGTGTCACATGATTCCTCCGAAATCATTCTAATATGGCTTCTTATTTTTGGGGGGTTGTTTAATTTATAGAAATTTCAAAAGAACGGCATTTATTTGAAATTGAGATACTTTGTTACATTGCAAATGTTTTACTATTATAGTTGATCAAATTAATGCGTCCTTGCTGAATAAAAGTATTAATTTCTTAATAAAAAAAAAACACCACCATCTACCAGACCCCAGACTCCACTCCTAAAACTGAGAGGGGAAGAAAGAAAAAAAAACTTGCAGTAAAACTTGTTGTAATGTCACAGAGAAAGTAAGTCTTTCATGATGTCACTGCCACAAATTTTGTCAGAAAGATCAAAACATTATTTTTAAAGGAAGATATGCATAAAAGCATAACAGGGTTGAATAGAAAGTGCAGGGACAAAGAAACATTCTATATTTTATCATAAAGTACATGAAGAAAAAAATACTTATTTTGAATTCAATTAACAAAAGTTGTTGGTAGCATTTGTTTTTGCCTATATTCTTATAAATATAAACAATTAAAGTGTGATAGTGATGAATGAATGGCTAGCTATTTAATTCAAGTGATAGTTTATTATATCTAAATAATACTGAGATTAGTTTCAGTATGTGGCATTTTTCTTATTAATTATATCAGCAGCAAGTAATGAGGATGAAAATGCCAGCAATTCTCGATAATGATCCAGACTGGCATTTATGTAGTTAAAAAAAAAAAGGAAACAAATAAATATTTCACTTGCATTAATTTATTAAGTGTTCACTCAATACATATCATTTTACAGGGGGAAGTAAGGAAGAAAACAAAGCTTCCTTTTAAGGTTTTACAGTGAAAAGATAACATCCTCAATTGGACTTCTATAGCTGTATGCAAACTATTTAAAACAGCGGATGGATTTTAAAACCAATAGACTGGTATAAACATTATGAAAATACAAGACCACCTTCAAATGTCATATGTAGAGTTCACAAAGTATGAATATTTCCAATGCCATTTATGTGTATGAATGGGGTGTACAGTTAGTTCTCTTTTACTACTTAAAAAGCTAGAAAATGGATAGGAATATATTATTGATGTTATTCAGACACTGCAGACGCTTAAATAGAACACTTACCAGATGCAGAGAGAGGAGTTCACTAGATGCACAGAGACTAAATGCCAGCTAAATTAAGCAGTCAATATAATCATTACTGTTTGCAGATGTATGTCAAGATAATCATATGAGGGGAAAAAACAAAAACAAAAAACCTCAGATATCACTGGACCAGGTATATTAATGTGTCCCCGATGTCCATTTTCAGGCCGTTATCACTCATATGAACTTTGTTTTCTTGCAGGTTGACGTGGAAGACTGAACTGTTTGAGATGGGGATCTTACCCTCCTCTTCCTTCCCCAAAACTGGGATTCTCCGAGGTCCGAGGATTGGGTCCTCAAAACGCATCAGCTTCACTTTGGATAAATCTACAATTTTTACAACAGCGTTATTTAAAAACAATGGCAACATTAGCATGCAAGTGGCATCAAAGTATTTGGATACTTCAGTTATACTTTCAAATGTGTTTTTTTTTAGCTTATAGCCTTGAATTAAATATCTTAACAGTTTTGTGAAAACCTTGTAACAATTTCAACTTTGCTAAAATAAACGCAAGTAATCTTTACCCTTGATGCCTCGGTTGACGCGGGATAGTCTGCGGATGATGCTGTCTTTGCTGTCTCCCTGTCGGATGTCAATCCTGGTGGAGAACAGACCGTTGGCTGGCTGAGGGTTCACCAGTGACACTAACACTCCAGACTACGGGAGAAACAGAGGTCACAGCTGAAGATGATGCTACATCATACAGATCATGAGACATGGTTTATGAGACACTTTTTGCCTCATACACAGGATTCGCCAAACCATTTGACAATATTATTGATGATAATTATTGATATTATTAGATTAATACAGGCATAAAATACAGATTTAAATTTGTCAAAAGCACAACAACATGTTGAAAACAGTTACAGAAACTTTGATACAATACCATTTTACACAATTTTATTCAGCAAGGGAACATTCACTTGGTCAAAAGAGACAGTAATATTTTTAACATTATAAACTTAATTCCTATTTCAAATAAATTGTGTATTTTTTTGACTTTCTATTTCTTCAAAGAATACTGGAAAAA